TCTCTACGACATAGAGATTGATCTGGCTACCTTCGCTCGGGTCGCAGGGCTGCCCACCCGCGGTGACGACATAACAACATATGGCGGCGATGATTGGATCCTCAACAACGAGGCTGTGGTCATCCGAGAGCTTGGGATCACCAACCTCATCCGTCACAGCGGCGCACCAACAATCCACTCAGCCCCGCCGGAGAAGCGTCTTCTTCTCTACATCCTCACCCGGATTCTTCGCCCCCGGGACGGTAGCCACACATGTCTCTTCAACAAGGATCTCAAGGCGGTTCATGCTATCACCCACGGCGCCTCGATCAATTGGGCAAAATACGTCATGATTCACATGGCGGATTGCGCCTCCATCGCCACTGAGCGGAGCTTGCCATACGCCTTCCTCGTCATGGACCTCATCATCTCCGCCGACATCTCCATCGCCGGCCCGGATACGAAGATGAAAAAGATTTGGATCATCCAAGACAGCACCTTCCGGAAGAAGTCCGGTGACGGAACCGGCGCTGGACCGAGTCGTGCCCGTGCCCGTGCCCCTGCCTCCGCTCCCGCCAAGGCGTCCTTACAGTCCATAGCCGATACTCTGAATCGGCTAACCCTCACAGTGGATGGCATGGGGCAGTCAATCGAGCGGATGGACTGGACGTTGCAACGCCAACACCATGACATGACGGCGTTCTTCCGTGGCATCAACTACGTCCCGCCGCCCTTTGACAGCACCATCCTCGGCCAGAACTATGAAGGCGAGGACGAGGAGGATGACTCCTATGCTCCGTCCTCCTCCCCCGACGAGGCCGATTTTGAGGACGCGGTCGACGGGGATCCCATGGACGTTGAGGACGACGAAGAAGACGATGACGCCGAGGACGAGGACGCCGCTGCCTAAACTCTTCTTCCTTTTCCCTCCTTCCTATGATTGTTTTTTTATTATTTCCATTCCGTTGTATTCCGCATTTTCTCCTTTTTCATGAAAAAAAAAGTTTACTTTTATACTCCAAAGTTCACTTTTAATTCTTTTTGTTAATGTCAAAAGGGGGAAGATATCAAGGTTATGCATAAATTGAGGGGAATTATTTTTTAAATAAAATGGCATCTATTAAGGGGGAACACTTTTTTAAAATCTCAAAGACTTCCTCATATGCATAACCTCATCTCGTTTGCCATTATCAAAAAGGGGGAAATTGTTGAAACACGGGCATGTCACGTTTTCGTACTAAAGCCGTGTTTGTTTTTATGACAGGTTTTGATAATGCCAAACCGCCGTGATCAAGTCAAACTTTGAATATA